TTTTTTTTTAAGGATATTTTTATTTCAGAGTGTTTTCATTCAATTTTTCACATTACTGGCCTCAGAATCTTAACTCAAAAATAAGGGACCATGAAGCAAATTAAGTAAGAGCAAGAACATAACTTCTAAACCATTCTGCTAAATGGTTTGCGAGAGCACAACCATTACACTTGGCCTTATACTGACTTCAGACAAAAGTTCAGTTAAATCAATACAAAAATATTATTTCTCAGTTAAACTACTGAATTCATTTTTTTAACTCAAATCTAGATTCCCACAAGAGAAATGCATGTTTAATGCCAGGGTCAACTTGGTGAACATGCCTGTGAGTTTTTTGTCTATATCAAAGAAAAAAAAATAGCATTATTCAACTCACCGTTTTATTACGTTCCGTAACCTGAAATCATTACACAGTTCATACGTTTAAATAGGTTACCATACACTCAACATTGCCATTATTTTTTATTTAAATAGTTAGAATATAAAATAAACAGACGTTTGAAGAAATGACTGAATCCTATGGGTTTATAACCTGAAGAATTTCTCAACCATCAGTAACTGGGTCCTCACATTGAATTCTGGAAATATTTCAGAAGATAATTTTTTTTTTTTAAATAAACTTGTTAGTTCCATTATATAAACATTCTGCAATAAGAATATCAAAAACAGTATTCAGACTCAGTTAACAACATTTTTTACATTCCTAAAGCAGAACTTTTTCTTCCTTTATGATTGCACAGAAAGATGAAGCTGTCAAGAGCCTGAGATTCAACAACGTCTAAAAGTCAGGACAAATAACTCATCTACAGTAAGAACTGATATTCACTCTTAAATAATGTTTTCATGCAAGATCCTCGTATATTTCTCCAATGGGAGGGGAAAAAAAAAAAAAAAAAAAAAAAAAAAAAAAAAAAAAAAAAAAAAAAAAGGAATTTCATGTTTCAGTATCTCTGTAGAATTTAGAATTTCAGACGGTCAGCAGTCTCTTCATAGCTGGATGTACCCTGTCTTCACCTCCTTCCCCACCTTACCACAAGTGGAAGTATCACACTTGCAGGAATTTCAGGGATGAGGTTTTTAACTCTGTTCCGTATGAGCAGACGGTCCAGAAGTGTTTGTCCCCTTCAGCTCTGAGAAACCAGATTGTAAAATAAAACACTCTGCTCCTTTCAGTACACTTCTCGATACTAATCCAAACTGGTTTACGCGTTACTTTCCCATCAAAAAATGCTGAAATCCATCAATTCCTGCACTTCAGAAGAATTCTAGATCACAGGAGTTTGCCAAAGAGGCAACTAAATACAGCTGAGCCCCTGAACAGTGTCCGTAACGTAACCAGCAAAGCGGCTACTGGAGAATTTAGTGCAGCTGGAGCTGCAAGAAATCTGGAAAGATGAATAAGCTAGTAAGGAGTTCTAACATCAAAATAGTGAGGAAGTGAAATCTAAGGGCTCAGCATACAAAATTCTTAAGAATCAGAAAGCATCTATATGCTTTAAGAATGTACAAAAGCAGAAAGATAAATTTATACTGTTAATTTATTCCTTATCACTGAGATTGTATCAGTAGATTAGTATGTTTACATCATCTTTCAGTACACTGCAATTAGCAGAAAATAGTGATCAAGCACAAATTCTGAGCCTCTGACACCTTCCAGACCTTCTTGCCCCAGTGAAAGATCATTACCTTAGAAAAAACGAGAAACAAGAGTATACAAATTCCAGACCAAAACCAGGGGAGGTGTCTGATGAAGGAGAAGAAGCTGATGTCCCAGAGGAGTGCACAGCAGCAGCCTGGGAGTCTCTCTACTAAATTCCAAACTACCTATATTGTTCACCTTCAAAAGCTCATGCCAAATCCAATGCGAAGTTAGATTTAAGCAAACATCTAGAAACAAACAAACAAAAAGTATCCAGCTGCTTAATGCATATCCAATAGGATTTATTTTATTTCAACTAAAATCCTGACTTCCTTAAATGAAGTCTTAGAACAGAAAAAAAATCTTTGGGCATGGAAATTTTTCTAGGATATTAAAATTACCAAATTAGAACTCAGATGACTGGGACATTAGCGCTCAACTTACTACACATTCATCATTCGGAAAAGAAAATAATTAAAAAGCATATTTTAAGTTCTGTAACATATTGCACAGAAGAAGGTAATCTAGAATTCCATGGTACCGAGGAGATTTTGATGTGTGGTGCATGAGCTTGTGGGGTTTTTTTAAATGCACTTCACTGTTTAGAACCTCAAAAAAACCCCACCAGACCATCTGTGACACTTGTTTTGTGCTTTTGTCCGCCCTCTGCTGTCTGAAATGCAGAAAGTAGTCATCTGTGCTACAGAGCACTCCACAACTCTGTACACACCATATTTGATCACTGTAGTTTCATGATTAGCTAGAAATCAAGTGAAGAAAAAAGGAGACGGAATGAGAGAGACAGACTCGGTGATTCTACACGAAAAGAAAATCACAGAACACCTAGAAGATGGAGTCTTTAAACTTAATCAAAGCTTTCCATAAATCTGTGTGATGCTATCCACACCAGGAACAAAACTATCTTAAACATGGATTTCTAAATAGTTCTGGTTAAAATAGCCAAGAGAATGGAACTGCCTTTCTGCTGGCTGCAGGAGCTACAACATGCAGGTAACGTTACTGCTACCGAACTCCAAGAAGTGCCTCACTACTGTGCATCCACCTGAAAAAGTCTCTGGGTCACTTTAAAACTCCAAGTCCAGATGTGGACCTCTGGCCTTCCGAGGACTGTCTTGGCTTCAAACTGCGCTTCCAGACCTCGGCAGAAGTTTTTAAAGCTCCAGCTGAGTGAAACAAATTTCCTTTTTCTCCTGTTCCTCTTCAATAATGAATCTAAACGTGATCATTTTCCACCACCAAACCATTTCACCGTGGCCAGACCCATAAAAATCTCTGACTGATAAACATGTGAAAATAATCTCTAATAAGAAACAATATAACTTAATTCTTATGTTATCGCTGATCATAGCAGGGTACACTTGGAGCTTGCTGCCATCCAACCTGGAATTTAAAAACAAATAAACAAGCATTCTTTTCATCCTCATTTGCTTTTTCAGATCAGCATGCTTTGACCCATCTATTTTCCATGCAGCACCCTTTAATTCATAAAGGACATCAAGAAGATTCACATCTGCAACGGGTGCTGCAGTCCTGGGAACGGAGCAAGTGAATCCATGTCATGCTGATTTAAATTCTTTATTGTCCTCTAAAACTTACATTCACTTGCATTAATGATGACATTTCACTGTCTCATTAGCTCAAGAGAAAGAAGCAACAGGAATGAAGCTGAGTCCCAATTCATCCACTGCTGTAACTGCACGGAAATTCTTTCCTTTTTTTTTTTTTTTGGTTATGAGCTGAAGCAGAAGGCATTTAACTACAACAGAACTCCTCCATTTCTTCCTGGCATTCACTCAACATAAGGGAGCTGACAGCAAAGAACTCTTATCCAGGAGAGATCAAGAAGGGACTCATACTACCCCTCATTCAGATTTTCTTTTCAAACCATGTTTCCCTTTTCATTTGTCATTAATCAGCAAAAGTTACTTTACTTTACACGGGAGGGACTCAGCACCCCCAGCGCAGGGGCAGAGCCAGGGAAATACCCTCCCGTCCTCAGCACGGCCCCTGCACTGCATCGCCAGAGCCAAGAGGAGCTGAAATGGCTACTAGAGAAAGGAAAGACTGAAGGAAGGTACTGAGAAACACCTGTCACCCTGCCTTCCGCACAATTAAATTTGTAATTTTGGTAGATTTCACAGTAATTTCTTCAATGAAGGCCTAGTCAGCAGATCACTGCAGTCAGTGTAGCGCTGGAGTACAAGGCAACAAACGTTTGCTATGCATACATCAATCCAAAATGCACCCCGTGGCACTGCTGCATGCAAGCCAGTGAGGTGAGAAGTGTCCTTGTTCTTGAGAGGCACTCTTATAATCTGTAGTTATCCCCGAAATTCTCCAGAGGGTCACATTCCATAACAAATGTACAGAAGGTGCCGTTCCGTCACGTGCAACACACCGTGCTCCCGGGATGAAGACAGGTTCTTCTTGTTCTTACACTGCAGTCTCTCATGGGAAAAGCAAACCAGAGGTGACAGACAGATGTCTACAACTGCTCATAGATGAAACTGTCCTCACTTGTGACTGTTCAGCCACCTGCCAGGCTGTTCATGCAGGTAACTCTCAGCTGGCTTTACCTGGGCCATTGCTCCAAAACTTCCCATTTCTCACAAACGTAGAAAAAGCAGAAAGCTGAAGACAGATCATCGTTAAATTTGTTTAGAACAAGACAGGCTGGATGCCGTGTGGAGATCTTCAATCCACAGAAGTTCTTAGTTGAAATAATATATTGGTAGATATTAAAACTGATTTTACTTGTGTCACTTCTTGCAGCAAATGTAAATAGAAAATTGCAGACTGTAGTCCGACATGTCTGTGTAAGGTCATCAAAAACTACTCTGGTAGAGCCTCTTTGCTCATTTTATGTGAAACACATTGTCTCCATCTTCCACTAATAGTCTTTATTAAAACAAACTCCACAAAACCCTCAATAGGACAGAGTAAAGCTCATACACACAAACTTTTAGGATGTGGAGAGCACCAGTGACATTCTCTCAGTTACCAACAGATGCTTTGTTAATAAAACTTGCATATACAAATGTCCACAAAATGTCCTAACAAGATCAGTTGTGACAGCTACAGATAACAGCTGCCATCATGCTATGTCATATCAAATTACTGCACAGACACATTGTTAAGAACGTTGACTACAAACAAATACAGTTATCTCCGGAGGAACTCCAAGTGCAAGATATTTTGCCTCACTTCTGCAGAAGAGCAGTGACTTCGAGGACCAGATAGGAAAATAATTTTGAACAGCAGGAAATTATAATTGCAGGGTGACACAGCAAAGTCAAACACTGCTTGCTGGAGTCAGCCAGAAGCCAAAGCACAGACCTACCTTAAGATACAGAAGCAGCTCTTGGCCCCAGAAGATAAGCGACAGAATCCAAACCTCTGTTTGCTGTCAATGTCTGTAAGCACAAATGTAAAGTTCTGCCCAACTTGGTTGACTGCATGGCTGAAAATAAAGAGAGCAAAGAGAAAAAAAATTAATGCTGAGCTAACTCTGTGTCAAAAGTATCTAGTTTAAGTCATTGAACCTGTACCATTTCCTCTTTCAGCAGGGCTTTTTTGAGAAATTGACTTTAGAGTGTACAACCTCTAGAAACTTAAATATGCCAGTTGCTTGGCGAGGGAGGAAGGTTTTTGGTTGGGTTTGGGTTTTTTTTTTTCAATTTATTAAGTGTGGGAGGATACTAAAAATGTGTTTATCTTTAAATGAAAATGGTCACGACTCTCAACCGTCTCCAATGCAGCACACACCGTGCAAACCAAACCCGTGTCCTCTCACATAACCCAAAACATTTATTACTCTTCAATTGAGAATTGGTTTACTCCAAGAGCAAGACAATGGTTAATAACGTGCTATGCTTCTTCAACGCTTGGATATTGACTTGTAGAAGTTTTATTATCCATCTACCCATTTTGCATGCATGCCAGATCCATCATTCCAAAACGCTGAGCATGGCAGGTGACTCTCCTTTAGCAGCCAGGCCATCGCTTAAAAGACAGACTAGAACAGTTGCAAAGGAAGAAAAGATAAACGAGAATCAAAAGGACACTGTGCTAAAGCCAGACATGACTATAAAAATAACTGTGTAGGACTTTTTAATGATTTTTCAAAATTAAGAGTCATTTGCCTCATCTGTAAGGTCTTAGCAGCTTTTCAAGAATAGCACAAGTGAGCTAATAGCATTTTTAGACGTTGGCCCCACTCACATCTGAGCAGAAAAACCAGTAGTGTAGTTTCGCTACAGGAAAATCTGCCCAAATTGGAAAACCACAATTTTAGAAAACAAAACAAAAAACCACAACCAAGAACAACTACCACCACAACAACAAAAACCAAAACCACAAGCATCACAAAAAACAAGAACCAAATCACCCACACAAACAAAACCCCTGAACTCCAGCATTTAAAATTTCATGTCTTTAAAAAAAATCTATAATTTACGTCTGTATTTCACCAGTAATAGGTGCTGCTTGAAGTAATAAGATAAGATCAAAATAAGATGCTTTACATTTAAAGCAGGGCATTTTCTAATGCTATTTATTAACAAAATTAAAGACATTCTTGAGATATTACCACATTTGTCTGAAGTTAATCAAATGCACAGTGATGGCAGATTCCATAGAAACCAAGCTCAATTCACCTCCCAGTTTGTAGAGAAATAGTTTTACTGTTTAACAGAAATTTTGACATTTAGTGGTGAAGCTGGGACTAATAAAGTTATTAGAGGACTTTTCATTCCAATTTTAGATCTATTTGAGTCCTCATAGTGATATGAAATTAACACTTATTTCAGGTTATGTTCTAGTTTATTTTAGGTTTGCTGAGAACTTAGAACACTGACGTGTATTTTTGCAACAACAAACCCCATTAAATTCAAGGCCATTTAAGTGACAGTCACACGCCTGAGAAGTGAGCAAGTATTCTCTTCTGTGATGCCATATACAGTGCAATAAACAACTTATGGGGGAGATTATATGCTCAGTGCCTAGAGAGGAAAGAAAAAAAAAAAAAAGACTTTCAGAAATAAAAGTTGGATCCAGATTCTGAAGATGTCACTGTCCAGCTTAGGAAGAAGAATCCTTCAGTGGATTCCAAACAGGGAAGGAAAAACATGCAGTGATGAAGACAAAAAAAGTGCTCCAAATTCACAGATAAACGACAGATATTTAAAAGCATTTCAGTAGTGTGAGACTTAAGAGAGCCTAAGTACTATCATCCGACCAAATTCTAAATGTCAACAGAGCAACCACTTCCATGAAGTGCCCTGAGCTGCCAGGGGATACCAAAAATCCCTTACTGGTGGGGTGTTGTATCTGTAAAGCTTGGATGTAATGTTACTATGGTGATTTTAGTATGGTGTTTTAAAAGGGGATTATATGCTTAATTTTAACAAGGTTGAGGGAAGAGCATGTGTGAGAAATATCATTCTAGCTGACAATTAAAATTATGGAACAGGAGGAAAAAAACCTACACTTCATTTGCAGCAGGGAGAAGCTTGTTTATTAAACAATTGTGACAAGTTGATAAGCTCCTCCAAAGCAAACCTAAAGATTCCTGCATTTCTGTGATCTGCAGAAGTTAAATGTTTCTGATAGGTCTTGCTCAAGTTTCAGTTGTCAGTTCTTCACACAGAAGGTTAAAATTCCCAACATAAAAGGGCTTTTCCTAAGATCTTAATAGCAATACTTAAGATTCTTAGCTCTATTTTCAAACGGGAAGGTCTACTTAGAGCCTAACAAGCTGGAAGCACCATAAATCTCATCTCTAAATGGGCAGAGAGAAGTCAGGGTTGGAGACAGGCAGAGAGAGGAGGAGTGACTTGTTAAAAATCCCCTTTCACTGGCTGTATCTGACTGAAACAAATAAATCATGGCATGAAATTTGACTGAGTGGGTTTTCACTCCTGCAGGTGGAGAACAGCCTCTGCCTTGATCCTGCAACCATAACAGCAGAAAACTCATGGGCCACGGCCAAAAGGAAGGGACAACTAGTCCCTGGTGATTTTTGACCACTGCCAACGATATATATAAAAAGAATCAATATAAAAAGAATTTGGAGTCTGTGTCAATGAGTGCCAAAACCTTCAGCACAGAGAGCAATCAGATACGCAGAAGATCTTGGTTTTACCCTGTCACCATTTGAGGTTGGGTTCTGGCAGAGGCCACAGTCCATCGTCAGCTTTTGCCACCTGCTTTATAAAACAGGCAGCCTTGGCAGAGACACACACATGGGGATGGCTTATGTCCTTCCTCAGCACTTGTTAAAGAAATACCACTGTTTAACGTCTAAGTCAGAAGAGGAATTCCCAAGCACAGTTCAAAGCTAAGTCAAATTGACATCACAGAGGACTACAACAGCTCTACATGTCTACATCTATGCACACACCTCTGCACGTGTGCCTGTGCATTTTTACATGCAGAAGAGGTGTGGCACACAGATCTGCTCCAGCTGCTACATCCTTCACTTGGGACATCATCTACTTTCTGGAGTATTGAAAGTCCATTCTTAGTTTTAAATTAAGTATGCTATGGGTTACAATCTCTCCTTTATGTATAGAATAGTTGGCTTACAGTCTTTTCAGTGACAGTCTGTGATATTCAGTCAAACAAGTGAATCCAGAAATGGGAATCACTTTTCATTATGTTCTCATTTGCACCCCATATGGGTTTTCAATGTTCTTATCTCTCAAAATGTTATATCGCTGGGGAAAAACAAAAAACAACAAAACAAACAAACCCCTTAGGTACAATAAATCTACACATAGTAAGCATAAATATTTCTAGTAGAAACACATACATGAGAAAAATAAATATAAGTACTTCTCTGCTCCCTCCCATTAAGAAAGGAAAAAGATGATCAGAAAAAGTGATTACAAATTATAAGAAGTATTTGTGGCTTTTAAAGGTCACCTGAGTCAACAAGCCCTGCTTAAGTAGCTCATGTTGACAGCCCAGGATATTTAAATTCTCTTTTTATGTTCAAATCGGGTACAGCAGAGGCCCTGGTACTGATAGCTGTCTCCAGCAGTGCCTCACCAGCGTCTCTCAACCCTGATCTGCAGGAACCACCTGGAGGGTTGAAAGACCGTATCGGCCCCGTGATCCATTCAAGCTTCCAGCCCCCTCCAGCCCCACATCACCACATCGAGCACAAAGCGGAGCAATGGTTTTATTATGTAGACTCCCATCTCCAGAGAAGCACAGTAAGATTCCATCTCCATTCACAGAAACTAGTGAGCAGTATTTCAAGCTAGCTCAGACACACCAGCTGGCTTATGGGCGAGGGAAAAAGTGAAAAGAAAATTTTTTAAACTCAACAATGGCTTAAACAAGAAGTGGTATTAGAAATGGATGTTGATTTATAAAGAAAATCAATTTCTACTGTAAATATCACAGATCTCACTGAAATAAGAAAAATATTTATAGCAGTTTAATCACAGTTAAGGTCAATTTCATCAATCAAAGCCATTCAGTGAGTTGGCTGCCCAGGACAAGAGCTGCCAGCCAATTAAAGGATTCTCGGAGATGACATGAGCAGTGGTGCATCCTTTCAAAATCTCAATGCTTTTTCTTTTCATAAACCCACCAAAAATAACTCATAGTAAAAGCAAAATGAAAAAAGTTCTGCACCTTTTTAAATTACAAGAATTAAATATACTCAGTTCCTGTCAAATCCATTATAACTTACTTTATAATTATTCCCCCACAAATTAGAAGCCACATTAAGTAGCCGCCAAGTAAAGCTAGAGCATTCCAAAAAGAACAAGAGGTCTTTAAATGTAAAGCATTTCATTCATTACTCTGCCCAAATTTTGGCAATTAATAAATAAAATACATCGGCACACAAAGCTTTGATATTAATACACATATTTGACAACCATTGCCCAAGCATTTCCACATCCAAGCGTTACATAGAAGTCAAACAAAACGCACTCTTTCTGCTGCCACTGAACAGCTCCAACTTTTAAAACTTTTTTTTTTTTTGATGGTGCCCATAAAATCCCCGGGAAAAAGTGATTCTAAGACTATAATTTGCACTTGGGTGCTTTAAATCACAGCCAAGCAGACAGAACATTAAGAATGGTATGGTTTTTATTTTCTACAGTGGTTTTATTGACAAGCTTATTTTCTTGTAAAGTTTGAAAAGCTAACACTACCTGTCCACATAGAAGGGGAAACAAAACTTGGTCAGAGTCTGTAGAACTTCCTGTGGAGAGAAAAAGAGATAATTTATACATCTATTGGGACCAATAAATCTAATATTAACCACATCACACAATTTCACAACTTTGCCCCGAAGAAATAAGAGACAGATGAAGAAATATGGGCTTTATCAATTACATGGAAGGAGTACCAGGCAGTCAATCATGTGAAATAATAAACATGATCAAACTTCATTAAAAATGAAAAATTAATCAAGATTCACACATGGGCAGGCAGCAGGAGCCATCCAGCAATTCTCCACAGAGTAGGAGGAGGTTGGGTTGTTGAGTGTTAACACCTCTCCAGGGACAATCTCTGCCCTGACCATATGGATCAGAGTGAATAACACCAAACCACATGGGCCTGGCCTGGCAGGACCATTTCTGCTGGCACAGCTTCTGCCGGTTACCTAGGAACAGGGGCTGGGGGATTAGAGAATCCTTCCTAACATCAGCAAGATAAATAACAAAAGATAAAGCCAATAGGTCTCAGAGCAGGAATGTTTAACATTGCCTACTGTTATTAGAAGGAAAAGCTGAGTGTTAAAAGACTGATTAAAATAACATGCATTAAAACTAACACAAATTGTTTAACTTACAAAAAATTTTCTAAATGTTGTAAAATCGCAACAGAGACAAACTTTTAAGTATAGGCTTTGCATAATTTCACATAAAAAACATGCATATGAAAACCAAAAACATGATCAGCAGAGAAATTAATCATTTTCAATTTTACAACTTTAAACAAATACAATCATTAAAGAAGCAAGAACAGAAGCGTATTAGTTCCAAAATAGTTCTGTTCGTAGACAAAAGTAATCATTTACATTATATTGTTTATAATATTCAAAATTTTGATTCTATAATCCCCAACCCACCATAAAAGATCTCCCCAGTTTGCAGCCCTTTATACCAGCTCATTCCTTGTTCATTCTCCTTCACACTTGAATATTCCAGGACCTGAATGAAATGTGAGCCATATTTCTGCTCTCGGCTGAAACAAGATAACCCTGACTAAACGACAAACCCTCTGATAAATTCAACACTTTTCTGACCAATAGCAATAAATTATCATCAATAACTAAGTTGATGCTTCCCGCTTCATTTATTTCTAAAAGCAATGCCATCATTCAACAAATAAACTCCATCAATCTAATAACCTATTCAATGAAGCAGAAAACATATTGACTCCCTCGCAAGAGCATGTTCCTCCTCCATAATTCAAACAAGCACATCCCACCCTTAGCAATGGTTTCAGGCTCAACTGCTCATAGACTCTTCTTTGGAGGTTTCTTGACAACTAAAACGTGGCAAGTTCTTAAGATTTCAGGCAGAAACAGATATGGAAGCTTTGACTTTTTGACAGTTTATTGATAGATTATTTAACAACCGCCTGTTTTTAAAGAACAAAAAAGGCTCTGGTGAAGAACACCACGTAACGCAAAGGAGGATCCTCCTTGCAGTTTCAGCAGGGAACTCAGACAGGAGCGACACAGGTTTCAAACTAAACTCTGCAGAAATACATGTTTTGATACAAAATAATGCCTTGATAGCAAAGGCCTCATTAACGTGACCGGGTCCACCCTTGTGCAGAATCTCACCGACGTGCACAAGGCCGCAGTGTCTGCTGCACAGCTCCCATTGCTGCCGCACAGAAACTACAGCGCGACAAATATGAACTATCACACAGTTCTTCTTTACCCACAGTTGAAATCTCAATGCTTAAAATGCTTAAAAAAAGCAAACACCACCACCACAACAGGATTTTAAAAGAATCAAAAGTATAATCACAGAAGAGTAAAGTGCTTATATTTTTATTTGCCTTATCAACATAAATTGTCCTCAAAATAATGACTGCACGTCTATTTTTTAGAAAAAGAAGGCAGTGTTAACAGATAACACGTCATCAGTCACCTCAAAATGGCAGAATATATTCTCTCCTTTGTTTTGATGATTTAAATAATTACTGTAACTGCAAGTAAAAACATTCACATCATAAAACACTTTAGCATCTCATCAGCATTGTGTTATTATAGGATAATAGTGTATTACTCAGAACTCGCTTTGCACTTCTTTCTTGATATTTATAGCTTCCTAAACACAGAAAATGAAATTTTCACTTAAGGAGGCAATATATTGAATTGTACCACTAGACACTACCTTGTCTTTTAGAGAAAGATTTTACTGTGATATTATCATGTGGCTTTTATAATGTTATTGGGCATAACTGGGTGCTCGTTACACACCAATATTTATCTGTCTTGATTTCCAACTAAGAAATTGAGACTAGTACAACTTAACCAGACACATACTTTTAAATTTTAATTATTAAAAAAAAAAAACAAAAAACCCACATAAAGAGTCAGCTTTTAATTAGCAAAAATGCTAATGTTTTGCATGTAAGAAATAGAATTACCAGAGAACTATTCAATTTTTGCTCAAGTTGCAAGCTCATTACTATATATGTGATGCTTTTTTCCCTTTAAATACTGCTCAGTTTGAAAGATTAGCAATGCCTACATGCAACTTCCTACAACACCTCTTTAGGTGGGTGGTTACTTATGGCCTAGAAAAATCATCATTTCTTTACAATTGCAAACCAAAAGCGTAACTAAACCAAACCTAGACTCCACAGCAGCATCTTATAATCCTGTTTCTGTTCTTGCCTGACATGAAACATATTATTATCAATAGCCTGTTTTCTTATTTTATTCCCCTATGCTTATTTTCTTAAAGAAAAGCCTGCATAAATGCCTCTAAAGCCAAACACCCTAAAAAGAGGAAAAGAAACACCCCCCACCCCCCGAACAATCCAGCACACGCAGCTGATACGCGTAAATGACCCCAGGAGCTGAAACCCGTGTCTCTGGGGCATCACATGCCAGTTTTCTGGATCAATCCCCAAGTTTATATTTTCACAAATCTTTTTACATGCAGTTTGATTTTTAACATTTTAATGAGCAAAAAGTGCATCTATAGCAGGCAGTCACCACAGTTAAAGTGCAGGGCATGAACCGTGTCCCAGAGGGACTCAGCCCAGCCGTGTCACTGGTGGCTTTAGGACATTCACCACCTGGTTCCCTGTCCCAGGGTTCCAACTCTTTTCATAATCAAAACACTGCTGACATTATAAACCCCACATGGGTTTTCTAAAATCCTGCCCAATCAATAAAGCTAGTACATAACTTATCGGAGACAACACAGAGCTCATTGATTAAGTTTGGTTTCAGTAGCAAAGTTTTCAAAATAAATGAGGCAGGAACACAGTGTTCAGCCCTTTTGTGTCACATCGCAATTTATGAAGGTGAGGCAGCCTCTGAAAGGATTTCCCCCACACAGGAGACCTTAGAAGCGTATGGAAAGCACGGCTGCTAAATGCACACAATACACACTCGACTTACGTCCTGAATTATCTATATATTGAGATGAAATAGTAAAGAAGGCTCAACTTTGCTGAAAAATTTTGCATACTCACTTGTGAGTTTAATATGCAAGCTGTATCTTAAAGTCTTTTTTATTTTTAAACCTTTCACTGTACGCTCCCCCTACCAAGTCAATGGAATAACTTCACAGCCTCTTAAATATACAGGATCACTCTGTTTCCCTTGTCCAAATGGACATTGGTAACAAATATTCCACACTGCAGCTACAACTAAACAAAACTGCACTGATAAAATGATATACAAATTGCTGGTCTAGTGCAAGAAGAGCAGAGTGTTGCAAATAATCTGCTCGTTGAAAGATGCACGATCCAACAGACATTCAAAGTGGAACAGGAAATCTAAGTAGAAGTTGGAAAGAAAAGGAATTAACATACAGGCAGAGATCTGTGAAAAATGATGACTGATTGAGGCAAGACACTCAGATATTAATGTGAGTCAGAGAACGGAATCAAAACACCCGAAAAACCAACAGGTTGGGGACCTGTATTTGGAAGCCTATTGGGAAATGTGAGGAACAGCAAGATGAAGTTGAAAAGAGTACCCAGAGTACAGCCCAGACCTTGTTTCAGAAAGGAACTACGTTTTCACAGGAGGACAATTCAAATATTACAAGAGAATGGAGCCCTGCAAATAAGATGAGTTTTCCATAGGGAAAAGAGAAGACTGGGTGATGAGAGAGATGAAAACTCCTCTATTTCCTTTACCATAACATGGAGATGAAGGATAGGGGAAGGTGCTGTGAAACGCTAAACAGAGAGTGTGGAAATGCAACCAGTTCTCAACTTATCCAGTTTGAAATACCATCTGAATTCATGAAACAAACATGAAAACCATCTTCACATGGAGAGACACCCAGAGAGTTTCAAGAACATCAAGAGAGTGATGGGGAAGGATGAGATACATGAGAGCAGCAAGGGCTGAGAGGAGCACAAGGGCAGGAAGAACAGGGAACAGATCCCCATTGACCAGCAAAGAACTAGAGAGGATTTTAATTCTGCTCAGAAACAGCATCAAATTTAAACATAGCAAAAATGTTAACACAGCATAAAAGAGTGCTAAGACATTGCTTTAACTGAAGCAAAATATCATCCAATTATGTTGAAATTTGGCTAACAATTAAATTGTCCACTGCAATGGAAAAACAAGTTTAAGAATTCAGAATGGTTGTCCATGCACCCAAATAACCTCCTTAAACCCAGAGGTAGTGAAAGGAAAAGTAGAGAAGAATCCAGAACACCATCAATTGCGTTCGCTCCAGAGCTGGTCAGAAATTCATCTACATTATCCCAGGAAAGGGAATATCTTTCTGCACAACAATAAGCACCTTAGTAACAAGTTTCGTGAACTGTTTTTAACATTTTACAAAGCAACTACTTAAAATGGATGGGAAAAGGTCATGTTTCGAAATTTTGTTTAAAGAATATGAATGTAATAAAGCAATGCCAGCCCAAGAAATTCAGCCACTAACTTGAACACAGCTATGAATAACAGACAGGACCAATACCTTTTGTGTTTTGAAAGATTAAACTTCAAATTGTATTTATATTAGTGTCAGCTTATAT